TAAAGCTTTTCAGCAAAGTCAATCAAACTCTTGGGATCAAGAGTAGGTTTTAAAGACCTTACAGCTAACCGTCTCCAAAAGGATTTGGGATTCTCCATCAACTCCTTTGTCAAGGATTCCTACTTCGTCCTCAAAAAAGCTCTTTTTTTAGACTTCACCAAGTCTTTGTAAAGCCTTGTCAAGGTAAGCCGACTTTGGAAATCCAAAGACTTGTCAACTGATCTCATCCTCGCTTGCTTACAATTCAAGTCAAACCATCCATTGCAAGGAAGCCCCCTAGCTCTTCGATCCTTGTGCCGCAAAAAGAACTTAGAAGCAGTGTCTTTGAGCAACTCTATTAATTGCCCATTCGCTGTATGTGGATCAAGGCTCCATGAAGTATGAGTCAAAAGGTTTTGAAAATGTAACATGTACAACTCTTTCTTACTAGGATCTAAATGAAACTTGGGAGAAGCTAAAACAGAATGGCATGGAGAGAGAGGGATTGTTTTTTATAACAAGAGAATAAATAAGAGAGGTGCATGATCTGACTCTGGCTGAGGTTCTAGAATATCAAATTTCGAAATAAAAGAGCTATGAGTGGATGAGGATAGAAGATAATCAATGGTGCTAACACCTGTAGGAGAAAAGCACGTATTGGAAAGGGAGTTGGGAAAGAGAGAGATACCGTTGAGAACTTTCAAATTACATATGGCTCCAAAGGTTAGAAAGTGTTATGTCAAAGGATTTGTACAAATATCAGAAGACTTTCTACACCACATACTATCTTCAAGTTCTTCAAAGGAGGGAGAACTCAAGAGATCACCAACTTGAGTAAATTGTGCACAACCTATTCGAGCATTGAAATCTCCAACCAGAAAAACTTCACCTTTGCTCTGATAATTGAGAACATCTCCTATAAGTCGATGGAATGGTTGACTCCGATTGCAAGTGCGTGTGGAGTAGATAGGCATGGACAATGGTGCAAAGTAACAAATAGCCAAATAACTATAAGATCCTCCAACCAAACCAAGACGAAGCCAATGATATTGACCTCCAATATCCTGACCTTCTAAATGTATCAAAGGTAGAAATTGAGATCTGATGAAAGTAGCAATATCGCCATAGCCTCTTCCAGCTCGTTGACTTCTCTGGTTCCAAGTGGATCCCACCAAAGTAAACCCTGGTATCTCTCCAATAGTGTTGCTCTCATGTTCCCACGTCTCCACAATGTTGATGATGTCCGCCATCTTCCAAATCGGATTAGCACTCACATACTTGGTTGTAGAAAGACCTCTAATATTCCACATTAACACCCTCAAGCTCTTGGATTGCTATGTGGATGATTGTCTCTTCCTTTGAGTGACAATTGCTTGTCCATCACGAAGATAAAAAAGACAAAAGACAAAAAAGACAAAAAATCACAGCATCTTGAGCTTCTTTGACTTTTGCAAGCTCCTTTCTCCTTGCCTCTACTTGTAGAGGTGTGAGATCGGGATCTAACCAAATCCTACGTCCTTTGAGTACAGCTTTGTTGGCTAAAGCTGTATCACGTTGAGTTTGGTCATTGAATAAGTTCAACTATGATGGCTCGAGGTTGAGTTCCTATGGTTCCAATGCGAAAAGCTTGAGCCACATCCGCATTAGGAACATCAAGTGTTTCAGCTAAAAACTTGGTGACAACACTCTTCACCTCTTCCTTCTCAGATTCAGGTAGACCAGAAATTCTCACATTCTTTCTACGAGCAAATTGATTAGTCTTTTCAATCTCTTGCTCTTGACAGAAAGAGATATGAGCAGACTTAGTGGCTTCTGCATAAGATTTCATCTTCACCTCTAGACTTTCAACCACTTCATGCAATCTAGGAGTAGCAGCAGTGGAAGCTTGAGAACCAACTTTCTCCTGGATATCCTCTACGTGTTCTGAAATATCAACCATAATCTTCTCGAAACTCTTTTGAGAGAGCTTCAACTCTCTAATTTCATATTGAGCTGCAATTAAAGTAGAGCTCTGTACCTTGAACTCTGCACGTAGTACTTTCAACTCTTCCAAAACCGTTTGCAACAAATTGAGTATGAAATTGTCTTGAGACGCCATCATGTGAATGCTCTCTCGAAAAGCTCTGAACTCCAAGGCACGTCAACTTCTGGCTTCGAATGGCGTTTGGCTTGAAATTTTGCAGGCTCGTGCGCTCTGCCCTACTCCAGCGTTCCACCAAATTTCAGCTCCAGATCACTCCGAACGTAGAAGATACAGCTCCCGTAAGAATCTCTTGCCCTCAAATCTTGAAACTCAAAGCTCAAAACTCAAAATTGGATGCACTGTGACTCTGAAACTCCGTTCCACCTGAAAATTAACAGGCTTGAGCGCTGTACCCAATGTCACAACGCCACAAAATTTCAGGCCCCGTTCGCACTCGAGCCCAAAGTTACGGCCCCTGCAAGATTCGGCCCTCCCCTCTCAAAAAGCTCAGACCTCCAAGACACGTCAATTTCTCGCTTCGAATGGCGTTCGGCCTGAAATTTTGCAAGCTCGTGCGCCCTGCCCTACTCCAGCGTTCAACCAAATTTCAGCTCCAGATCACTCCGAACGTAGAAGATACAGCTCCCGTAAGAATCTCTTGCCCTCAAATCTTGAAACTCAAAGTTCGAAACTCAAAATTGGACGCACTGTGACTCTGAAACTCCGTTCGACCTGAAAATTGACACGCTTGAGCGCTCTACCCAACGTCACAACGCCACAAAATTTCAGCCCACGTTCGCACTCGAGCCCAAAGTTACGGCGTCTGCAAGATTCGGCCCTCCCCTCTCAAAAAGCTCAGACCTCCAAGACACGTCAACTTCTTGCTTCGAATGGCGTTCGGCCTGAAATTTTGCAAGCTCGTGCGCCCTGCCCTACTCCAGCGTTCAACCAAATTTCAGCTCCAGATCACTCCAAACGTAGAAGATACAGCTCCCGTAAGAATCTCTTGTCCTCAAATCTTGAAACTCAAAGCTCAAAACTCAAAATTGGACGCACTGTGACTCTGAAACTCCGTTCAACCTGAAAATTAACAGGCTTGAGCGCTCTATCCAACGTCACAACGCCACAAAATTTCAGCCCACGTTCGCACTCGAGCCCAAAGTTACGGCCCCTGCAAGATTCGGCCCTCCCCTCTCAAAAAGCTCAGACCTCCAAGACACGTCAATTTCTCGCTTCGAATGGCGTTCGGCCTGAAATTTTGCAAGCTCGTGCGCCCTGCCCTACTCCAGCGTTCAACCAAATTTCAGCTCCAGATCACTCCGAACGTAGAAGATACAGCTCCCTTAAGAATCTCTTACCCTCAAATCTTGAAACTCAAAGCTCGAAACTCAAAATTGGACGCACTGTGACTCTGAAACTTCGTTCGACCTGAAAATTGACACGCTTGAGCGCTCTACCCAACTTCACAACGCCACAAAATTTCAGCCCACGTTCGCACTCGAACCCAAAGTTACGGCGTCTGCAAAATTCGGCCCTCCCCTCTCAAAAAGCTCAGACCTCCAAGACACGTCAACTTCTCGCTTCGAATGGCGTTCGGCCTGAAATTTTGCAGGCTCGTGCGCCCTGCCCTACTCCAGCGTTCTACCAAATTTCAGCTCCACATCACTTTGAATGTAGAAGATACAGCTCCCGTAAGAATCTCCTGCCCTGAAATCTTGAAACTCAAAATTGGACGCACTGTGACTCTGAAACTCCGTTCGACCTGAAAATTCAAAACCAAAAAGCTAACTGAATGAAAGTAAACAAAGAGGTTACAAAACAGATAAAAATTTTTGCCATTATGTTGTTGGTTTTCTATGTTATTTTTATTATTTCTATATGCTACTTTGTTATCGTACTTCTCTTCCGTGTTATTTGAATTTCATGCCATTCAATATTTACACACTGAAATTTTTGTACCTTTTTTTTAACATGCATATCACAATCCTCCAACAACCTCTATACGTTTTTAAAATTGAGATATATCATATTTTTTTGCTATTTCATGAACATTAATCTACATTTAAGGCAAAAGCAAAATAACTTCAATATTATTATAACATAAGAGAAGTTGAATTAAAGATATTACACAAAGTTTGAAGATAAGAAATATCTAGTTTCTTCTTCTTTATGTAGATTATTCTAACAAGTACAATGGTAAAAAATTATTGTTAGTGGATTGAAGACAGTATAGATTCATCAAACAAGCATATAGCTTTTGAAAACAAAACTCTTTCAACAAACACACTCAACTTCTATATACCAAACACACATATCATTCACGTATCGCTTTCAATAAACACATTCAATCTTTATTTATCAAGCACACGTATCTATAGATATTTCATTAAAAATTAATTCTATTTCATCTTTAATAATCTCTCTTTTACTTCTAACTAAGGTTACATTGTGATGTTATCTTCATAGCGAGATTGAAATTTTTTTCTTGGTAGCAAATGCAAGTGAACAAGAGCCAAGAAGTGATACTTTGACTTCAAAACTATACTTAGCATCTCAAATCCTAAGCACTAACTATTATCAATCTTAGCTTTATTAGGTTACTATTTTAATCAAGGTTTTCCAATCTAACCTGATGTATTTTTCTAGAGTTATCAAGTGATTTTATTATAAGGAATTTGTAGAACATTTGATGTAGAGTGTTATGTTATCTTACCTTTTTTAAGCACTAGTTATTACCACTCTTTGAAATCAAAGTGTTTCCATGGCTAGCTAAACTAATACGTCTAGAATTCTCAAGTATCAACCATGTTATCTTGAGTTTCCTATACCAAATATTCAATTGTGCTGTTATTGATGCTAGCCCCATAATACTTGTTCGGCTTGACGGCTTGTGGCCAATGTATCATTATTTTATTTTTAAACAACAAATAGAAGCGAAGATCGCAAGTAGTACAGAGGTCAAATCAAACAGGTTATATGGGTCGTCGCATTGAGTACGAAGTTCTTTTCTTGCATAGCCGACTTGGAGTTGCAAGGAGGTTATGCCCTGGGAGGTTTGTCGCTTCTAAAGCTTATTCATCGTTTCTATCTCCGATCCCTTTTTTTATTATTTGTGTTTATTGCTGAGCCATCGACTGGCTGATCGGGTTGAAGGCTCAGTTGGAAAGGGGGACCTTTGGGGAGTGAGTTCTCAGATTGAACACTTGCAGTGGGACCCCGAAAACTGACTGTTTCAAGCTTCGAAGGACAGGACACATTTTGAAAACCCCGTTCATGCTTGCCGGGCCAGCACAAGCCGAAGCCCACGAGAAAAAGATCTACATAATTGTTTTTCAGAGTGTCCTGCATCATCTGCTGCGGATCGCGCAAGATTGGAGCTCTCAACAATAATTATGTCTAGTTCTGCGGCAAGGAAGGAATTTGAATCCGGGTATGTAAAAAAAATTCTCGTGTTGAATTTGCAAGATGTCTAGATGTGAGTTTCCCGATTTCTTGGATGGGTGGTTTGGGGTCTATTTGTCAACTTGGATGTTCGAATTCAGAGAATTCGATGCAGGAGGTCGAACTGATGCAGTGCGTGGAAATCTGCCAGCCGTCATAAATTATGGAATGTATCTTGTAATCGAAAACAACCGATTCTTCTTTGATTTCAAGCTTCCAAACTTGCAATGAAACTCCCTTGAAGCAAGAAAATGCGGGAAGAGGGAAATCTCCTGCTTCACAATGCTCTTTATGGGAGACTACCCTGCATATAGCTCTCCAGGGTCTTCATACTTCCTTGGGTCTTCTCAGCACTCAGTGCATCATTCTCAGATTTTTGGGCTATAGCTCTCCAGGGAACCAACTGACGATGTCCTGAATGTGAAGTCTGAACGTATGCTCTTAGGCCAACCCATTCATGTCCACGGTTCCATGGAGAGGGGCTGTTATTATATAATGTTTTTCACGTCTATCTTTGTATTTGAGTACTCTCCATCCGAACCAGCATGAGTGCATGAACTGAATTGAGCTAGTGAAGTGGACGATCAGACAGAATCTTGCTGAGAAAATTTGATATGCTTCTCCATGCCCGTATGTAACATGTATGATCGGAGCTTCACTTGATTTTTCGACGGAAATTATGAATGCAGGGAGCAGTTGCAAAGACCACCTCCAAGACAGGCACCCTTCAAGTTTCTGGTGCCACTGGTGTATGCTCCGATCTTGCCCTTAAGTACGTGCTTTAACGTCAGTCTTATCGCTGGGTTTCATTCTTTGGATCAATTATTCCAAACTGGAGATATCGAACAAATGTATCATGAGAAAGCGTCGTACATCTTGGCTTCGTCATAACAACTCTACTGCTTTCTTAGAATATGACATTTTGGGGCTTTGTCAGTGATTTTGACATTAAGGTGGGTCATACTTAATCTCACTAGGTAGTGGATATTGCTGGTTTGGCATATTCATGGTAAATAGTTTTCTGCAGAAACAATCTCATCTATAACAGGCGTAATCTTTCTCGTTATCGAGATTCGGTCTTGCACTAGAGGAAGCCGTCAATTAGTCACTGATGGTGTCTTTTGTTTGTGCAGTCAGAATTGGATTGAGGAAGCAGCCTGTATTAAGAGATCGTGCGTTCACTATTGTCCTTGGTGCAGCTCTTCTTCATGGAGGCTACTTAGTGTATCCTCACCATTTTTTTTTGCATCAAATCTGGTGTGCCAAAATCATCCGTAGTTATCTGCAATCCCATCAAATATTGAATGAAACTGCCTCGTTGTATCATGTGCTCAAGAATATCATTCTCCAAAAAATCAGTTGTCTGTAGACCAAAGTGAAATTCCCATTTTTTATCAGGGATGTGCATAAAACAGTAACATTCTGAATTACCATCACCAGGTATCCATTCTAGTATCAGGGTTTCAAATGTTTCCAATCAGGTCCATGTAGTGAAAGCGGGAATTGTCAAAACTGTGCATATGTATGTTGTTCACTTAACTTGTAGAGATCAGAGCTGACTTGTATGATGTAGAGAGCAAGTGAGATTGAACCGGAAAGATTGAGCTTGATCAAACCAAACTCAGCTTTTTCACCGCTGTGTTTAGCACCAATGTTTCCAAGTTCACTAAGCTGACTGTCGGCAAGTGCACTCGATGATGTGCAAATTCAGTTGAAGGACTAAAGATAGATCATAATTAATGCCGTTGTCGAGAGAAGGATGGTAGCACCTCCCAGCCACAGCAGGGTGGGTTAATGGTCTTCAGGCTATTACTCGAGTAAAATTTAAAGTTGAGTACTTTTGATGAATTCTCCCGGTGTTGTGTTATCGATGAAACGTTACATACTGCGTGCTCTATTGTTCATTTCCATGACTCGTGCCTCCATATGCATCTTAAATTAAACGATGCATCCATCAGGAACTGCAACAAGTTCTATACCCTCGCACAAACCTTCTTCAAGAATTATGCTAGATTATGTTCTTGGAAAAATAGTTTGAAGCCGTAAACCAACGATACGAAGGAAGCCATCGGCATTGACAACTACTTGACAGCTTTACTCCAAAGAATGGACGGGGAGAAAATCAGCTATCCCGTATTCCCTAATTAGTCAAACTTTTATGACATTCCCAAATTTGTCCTCTATCCCCGAATGTGTTCTTCATGTATGGCTGTCTCCTCAGAGGGAGAAAAATAATGAGAGCACGCTGTGTGGTAGAATTCATTGTACAGTTGGGGAATCCTTGAAGTACTCTCAGTTGGTATGGGGACGCCGGCTGATCACTAGGCTGGCATGGTTGGCGCTGCACTTGACATAGAAACATCTAATGTGAGAATTGACAACTGACCTATATTTGATATACTTGCTCCATCACATATCGAGTAACATCTCCACGGTTTATTTTATCCGAAATGTGTCTCTTCTCGATAGGACGACTCAAATGAAGTGAGTGTAACGCATCTGCCAGCCACCAGGTGAGAGTCATGAGCTCAATTTATTTTCCTCCTTTCCAATACATGGTATACGTAACGTACCGATACCAGGAAACTGTAGCTCGATTAGAAACTTATTTACTGCTGCGCAACAGAACCAGAGCCTTTGCGCATAGCTACTGCACTCCATCCATACACTTGCTGCACATCCACTTAAACTCAGATACACCCCTTTCGTACGAAACAATCCGACTTCACATCACTTGATAATCCCTTTTAGTATAATGTGCAGGTTAGTCAGGCGACCTCGATTGATCACAAATATTTCCTCCACATTCTTCCCATTTAGACTTTCTGCATCGCAGACAAAATCCGCCCCCCTCGCACGCATGTTCTTTACAGTGGGTGAAGGTACCAAACGCCACCCTTTCAAACGTATGGGGGGACACTAACTCATCCCGCGACCATTATTGAAAAAAACCCTATCCTACAGAGATCAGAAAAGAATAATCCATATAGTGAGGGTAGAACTGCTAAACCAGCACAAATGCTTGTTGGACCTTACCTATGTGTACTGGCCTGCAAGCTACTTGATGTACAACACTTTCTGTAGTGTAAGAATCCCTATCCCAGTAACATGAATGTTTGACAGGCGTAAACGTTCCTCGTGAGAGCCTGTTCTATATTTTTGCCTTCAGCCTTGTATACGGATAGAGATAACTCTATTCGTATACAATTAAAAAAGCATGTGTAAGTCTGCTAAAACTTCCTCATGGAGTAGCAGGATCATTCTCAACCCACGAAGTGCGTAAAGCCTTCTTAATATGACTGCAAACCCTCTTCACTTGGACTTGTCACCAGTTGAGATATGTCCCTGATATCATGTGCAAGTCAAAGGACAATCCTGACCAAGCTCTCTTCTTCATATTCCAGTCGGAGGATACTGTGCTGGTCTGACAAAATCACCAGCAGTAGCAATTGCAGACACCAGGGCAGCTGTTTGAAGCATTCTCACACCGCTGCCTGACCTTGCAGCCGCAAGAGCTCCCGTCATAGCTCCCGCAATCGTTGCATTCATCTGTTGAATTCAACCACTCAAAGTTACTTTGAAGATCTGCCAATTCTCGATCAGAAAATGAGTCGATCTCACATGCATAGTGACACTAAATCCAACCATACATTGCACCTGTCCGTCCCGCTTTATCAGAGACATTCTGGGTATAAGTTTTCTTTATTTTCGAATAATTCAGAGAAGGTCAGACACTTTTACACACCCAATCACTTTTTCTCCTCACGGTCTTAACTCCGCAATTCAACCCCAGATACATTCCTGCGAAGAAGCCTGCACGACACCCATGAGAGAAAAGCCAAAATGTATGTCACGATGTTGCATACTTGAGATATCCTTATTCGTAGGGTTCTCTACTAATAGTGATGAATAATCCATGACCTTCGACCTGATTTTATAAACTTTTCGGCGGAAAAATAATACTGTTCAGGTCGGCCTGCTCCAACAAGCATATTTTTAACTACAGGATCTCAAAATTGGTGACGAAGGAAGTGACGAAAATGTTCCACTCACCCCATCCCAGGCCATTCCGCGCAACAGACTTCGCCTGGAGTCAAATTACGAATGGCATAAAATGTGTATCAAACAACTCTGAAGGGCTGCTACATATATGGAAAGTACAACTACTTGTAACAGTAGTCCATCTTTCCAAAACCCCTAACCGTGCCAAACAATGAAACAGCGTGCGTAGAAAGTGGAAATCAATGCGGGCACCTTTAATCCTACTGAACTTTCTAGCTTACCAAGATGTACTGCAGATCAGTTCCAAACGCTGAGAGGTGCAAGATGTTGTGTCTTGTAAAGGCTTCGCTAGCTTACCACATATAAACCTCGAGCTGTCCCTTTATGTCCTGCATCCGCAATGATGGAAATGCCATCAAAATGGAAGCCCTACGCATGAAGTTCAAATGATGAATCACTTGTCTGGAGGAGCACTGATCAAGCACTTCTAGATTGCGAAACAAGCTGAGATTGAAGTACTGTCAGTTGTTAATGGCAGTTGATATGTAAGCACGCACCTTCTTTGGTCGCATCGTAGGAGCCCATGAAAACTCCCCAAGCAAGTCCTGCCTAAAAACAAGTAGACAACTACACTATTCAGAACATCAACCACCAACCATCGTGACTGTTGAGCGGAGAGAAATAAAGGTCGTCATTTCAGTACTTGAGAATACGACGTCCAGAGGTTCTTTAGTTCGACATTATTCTTGTAATTGAACGGACTAGGAAGGGACAAAGACTACTTTGACAATATGGCAAAGATTCACGAAATCTGGATGTCAAGAGAGCAGAATTCACCCTTCGTTACAGAGAAGAGAAGAGATCGTCAAGAACCATTATGTACAGCACCCCACTCTTGAAAAGCATAGAGAGTAGAAGAATGTATCAAGAAGGTGCACAAAAACCCTAATTCTACTACTCATGAATATAAATTTGGAAAAAATGTTCAAACCGGCCACGGTATCCTAAAGGTATACACATGGTAATTCAGTCACAAAAAAGAGAAAGCCTAGTCCGATTGAAGACCAAATTCATACGATATAATCTGGATAGAAATGCAGAAGCACCATTTAATACGACACTCAGCCGCAGGAAACAGGAAACAGCTGCAGAGATCTCCATGAGATGACAAACAGCCCACGCAACCCCGGAGTGCAAGATTAACACTTTCCATCCTTTAGGTTTTGCATCCAGATCAGCAGATTTCTAATCCAGCAAATAAAATCTAAGGCCTAACCAAAGCTATCTCCAAAACAAAAAACTCCAAATCAGCATACTTCCAAGTACGCTTCCAGAATGTTTCCTTCCACAACCATGTACAGCTATCGAGCAAGAAAAAACAGAAATTGTGCAACGCCGCAGACCCATCAAGAGTATATGCAACGGACGACCTGAGAAAATCAACAGATATTCAAGCAAACTCCAGGCTCCTCCTCTAGTGAAACCAAACAAAACCAGAATGTCGTACTGTTCCAATGCGCACGAAGCCATCGACTGCCCGGGACATACAGGGCGGACCCGTCTCGTACAAATCCTGCAGATCCATGCTGATCCTCTCTATCCCCGTCCTCTTCCTGTAATTTGTGCCTCTACGTCGACACAAAGAATTCCTCGAATTTGCTTCTGCCTCTTCTTTCTCGGTCTCGAGAACCAGAGCTTAGAGCTCCTTCCAAGGGCATTACATGCTGCTGACATGTCATCTCCTAATTGGACTGGGAACTTCCAGATCCAGCTCATATGTACTTTCTTCCTTAATTTAATTGTGTTGCAGGTATCAAGCTGACATGGCCCCTCCTTATTCGATAGTATTCCGATAATCACAGTGCGATGTATGATTTGGAATTTCTTTCTGACTTGGCAACTTCCGAACGCTCATCCGCTTCGTATATGCAGACTCTGCGTCGGCTCAGTTCCCGTCACTTCGCGGTTGCTGGTTACAGCGGGAGAGAAACTGGGTGGGACCTTAGTCAGGAGTAGTGCCTCTAAAACAACCGTTACAAACAGCCAACTCAAGGGCATATGACCTGTACCAGGGAGTCTTTGGAAGGGTCGGCCGCCCGACCTCAGGGTCAGCAGGTTGATCACGAGGAGCCATCCTAGAGAGTCATATATGGGCTCAACGCCTGATCCATGACGTATCAAACTACAACGAGAGGGACATACTCGTTAAAATATAGAAATCTGGTCTTCATGGGATTTAACACGTTGGCGCCAAATGCATACGTACATATTCATAACTAAACTTCCGAAACATATACCAATTCAACCACAAGGCTACCTCTTCTAGCTCTATAAGATGCTCCAGATTAAGAAAGAGAACAAAACGTGTTTATACATAATGTATCTCTTGTCACTTAATTTACGAAAAGATCAGCCTGAAGAAATTATATTTTTCCTTACATGATTATCGTTGCCCAGTCACGTCAAGGTTAAACATTTCGTTTGTGCTGGATGTTCTATATTGCTGTTAAACAAATAGAACATGCAGAGTTCAAACCCCCACTGGTCGGTAGGTGGAAAAAGGGAGACGCAAGGTACTGCGACATGGTACATGCAGCTAGCTTATTTCACTGTGTATGGGAAGAAGCAAATATGAGGAGAATCAGTCGATATCATGATCGGACTTGAAAATGCGACCACTGGATTTTGCAGATTGTAAGTGACCAGAAAAACAACACGCTTGTTTACCATGTCAGAAATTTGAAGAGGCTCCCGTTAGGTTTAGATAAGTCCGGTATTAAGAGACGTTAGTGTAGACACCGAGGAGATTTAATTCCTTAGATAAATAAATGATGTACAGAGCAATCAAAGAAGGCTGTGGAACAAACGATGAGAATGGATATGTACAATCATTTTATGTGTCATTAAAGTTATAATGTACAATTGGAATGAATTTCTGGATTCCAAAACATCTTACATCATCAGGTTTTGCATTGTAGGTTTTGTCTGTCTTGCCCGCAATATGCAATCAGTGATAGCAGGAGGTTCAGACATTGGGTAATCTAATGAACTTGTGACACATACTCATCAGAAAAACACCAAACACGGTAAAACATTTCAAATGTTTAGGCTAAGGCTTGATAAGAAGTAAACTCCCATTCCTTCGTCTCCAAGGACTGCAGTGCAATCTCAAATCGAGTATCTTTATGAAATTTGCTAACCGCAAAAGAGTTCACAAAACTCAAGTTTACTCTTTATATAGAAACGTTCCAATGTCTCCATCTGGAGTTGTACGTTGGCTACGACGAGATAGTATCTATCTCTTGTTAGCTAACGTACAATAGCTTTCATAGATTTCTTCGAACGAACACGGGGGGACAAGATCACATGGGTCCTCTGAGTCGGAAACTTAGGGAGGAGGTGGTCTTTATCCACATTACTTTCTGATGTGGAGACAGTTCATCAAATACCACTTTATCACCTGCATAGGTATAATCACAATAGCGTTGCAGACTAGGCCGTACAATTTTATGTTCTCACATACACCATCCTGTGGAGAGCACGTGTAAAATATCCGTTATGCTGTCATCCTTATTTTTACATTCGCTAAGGTGATCTGGTCAAATGTTGCAATTGAAGATATTCTTTGAACGTGTATGAAGATCTATAGCAGATTTTTTAGCCAGTCACTGGTTACATGTTTCAAAGTAATGTGTGCAGTCGATGAACCTTATTTATATGAGTTCATCGCCAGCTGAAAAAAAAAAACAGTTTCATAAATCTCAAGTAATGAAACAATCACTGAGGTTGCTTGCAACTTCCGTGTTTCCAATGAAAGGACTTTTGTTGATTCTGGTAGAGTCAATCTTTACAATCCGTTTCAAGGGTTGTTCAGAACAATTTTGTGCGGCTGAATTTCAATTCTCAATAAAAATTGCAATAGATTGAAATATCTTCTCTTACCTCCTTCTTGTGGGAGTGCTAACAAATGAACTGCACTTTTATTTTTGTGAAATGAATTTTAAATGACGTAGTATTTTACTTCTTTACTCTCACTATGTGCTATATAGGTACATTTGGATAAGCACGGGTGCTTGTCTCCTTGAATTTTAACACTTTTCCTCATTCCTGTTTGTACTTACACAATCTCGATCAAAATTCTCCTACATGAGACCATATTTCTGTTATCCTTTTCTTCACAGTTGAGTACAACCTTCATCATACACAGTTGGCACAAAGATTCCAGTGAGTGATAGATAGATAGATAGATAGATATATATATATATCTCATTCAGGAGTTACATATATGTTCTATGCATATGGCAATGTACATCACAATAACAAAATCCTTGAATATAGATTTTTTTTGAAAAAAAAATTCCATAAAACTTAAATTATTATACATTAACATCCAATTCTATTAAAATTCCATCATAATTTTGAGACATTTTATATATAATGATTACATTTTAAAACAAATTTAACATTAAAAAAAAAATTAGTAGCAAAAAATCAGACATTAATGAGATCTTTTATAGTTTACATGAACAAGTAAAATACGAAATCATTTTTTAAGTCTAAAAATGAAAAAAAAAGTTAGAATTCTATTCGCTAAAAAAGTATCATCAAAAAAAATTAATGTGTATATTGGAAAAATGAAATCAATGACATATCGTGTGCTTTTTTGCATGTATCTAAAGTCATTATACTTTGGTCAAATTTTTAATCAAAATATTTAATAATCAAATTTCTTATCGTGAAATAAAACAACAACTTGTTAAATAGATCTAATGATTATTTTTCAACTCACAAGGACGTGAAAATAGAGCAAGAAAATGAGAAAAAAATTTGAAATCTTTTTTGGATACTTAAGTTGAGTTGCTAGACAACATTGAAGCTTAACAATCTATCTATTCAAAAAAGTCTCAAAAGAAAAACAACGCACATGAGATGATCCATGACAATGTATATTGCATTTCAACTAAACTTTTTCTTGTTTTCAGTAATATATTTCATGAAAAATATTATATCAATCACATAATTTTCATGTTTTTGTATTTTATATCAATTTGAAATGTATTCATAGATTTTATAATAAGGTTTATTTATTGATGTAAAAACTTGGTTGTGAGCATATAATAATCTTGCAGCCAATTACACTAGTCTGATGTAAATTTCAAAATACACTGTGATATAAAATATCTCATTATCAACTTATATCATTCCATTTATTTTAAACGTAGTTATATATGTCTAAAAAAAGTTATTTGCATTTATTGTCTAGGATCGTATGAAAGTAATTTCAAACGATTTTGAAAGTATTTTAAATCATATAAGTGTGTTATTGAAGAATATAAGAGAATAGCGTAACACATTAACATAACAAAATGTTGGAAAAATCACAAGAATGAAATCAAACCGTTAAGGTATACAAACAATAGGAGATCTCACTTATCAGAAGAAACCGTTAGAGAATTACTTGATGGGACCCGTCCCCAATGCAAAACACTTGACGAGACGCCCAGACATTATATTTTACCCGAAGGATCCCTAGTACGTCTCACCGTCACCAATGTTACTCTATGAGTTCTTGTAACGCATATGTTCTTGTAAAATGTGTTTTCGATTTCAAAAATAACTCTCTCAATAGAGTTATAGTTTGGTTTTAGCAAAATTTGTGATTCGCAATTTGCATGATTTATGTAACGTAATGATCACGTCATTGCAGAAAAGAATTATGTTCCATAACTCTTCCCTCACTTTTAGATCGGCTAGCTACTGTCTTCCATTTGCATGTTCTGAATAAATCATAACCAAATCAATCGTAGACGAGACCTGGGAATTGTGTCAATAAGGGCTGATCCTCATTCCGAGCTTCCTTCTACGACCAACTGTAATATGTCGTTGAATTCTCAATACAAGAACTCGCAGTTGATGGTGGGGTGGAGGATGTGGATGTGGGATATCCTCGGGTAAAATGCATTGTTTAGGGTCTTGTGAAGTGTTTTATGTTACGGAAGTGTCCCATCAAGTAATTTGCTCCCGAAACCGGAGTGATGGGAGGGTTTGCACCTGCATCGTCAGCTTCATATAGGATTTTCTAGGCGTCTCACTTTCCTGCGACCCTGCCTTCCATTAACATCGTGGCCAATGTTGAATCAAGGGAGTGCCAAACATCTATATTTTGTTTGATGTGAAGTATCAAACACCACCCTTACACATATACAGATAATGTAGCTGGTGTTACTCTATCATAGAGATTGGGAATAATATATTTGTCCAACAATATATTGTATTGTTGCTCAATACAATATCAATAATATTATTTGCTTGATTTGACCCGTTTATTCCAAGGAGAAATTTGTTTGATAAGATCGTTGCTTGGCGGAAGAAAGGTGAAATGGTGTTTGTTTGGGGCAGGGAACAAAGGTGATGTGGCGTCTGTGCAAGGGGGCGCGATCGGGTTTTGTTTGTTTGGAGTAGTCTTGATAGGAGAGTATGTGACCGAGAAGTATGGGCAAACTATGGTCTCAAAATGTCTAATTTTTTATATTAGATATTGTAATGTATTGTATTTTTTGATTTACAATACCAATATATTGTATTGTCTTGAAACTCAATACCAATATATTGTATTGTATTTTAGAAAAAAAAAATAATATCAAATAATATTATTCGGAACAATATAATATCGCGAAACTACATAGAGTCTCTATGTAGTCTCGCGTTCATTCCATCCGTCTCCAGTAACCGATTTCTCTTTCAGAATCGATGTCCCGTACATTCAATCCCACCAATTCCTACTGTGTTGGCGGCCAATGGAACACTCCCTATACTGAGCTGGATTCTCTACCATTATAGGGACTCATTTCAAATTAGAAAG